ATAAACAGCACTGAAAAAGTTTTGATAAATCAAACAATTCAATATGAGCAATCTAGGAAATATGCAGCGTAAATAAATGTTTACAATTTAATAAAATTATCATATTGAATTCACGTTAAACTGTATGTCTTGCAGGAAATATTGTAGGAGAATCCTATTGTTTTGCACATTTGAGAAACAGTTTCTTGCAAAGTCAGAAATAAAAAAAAAACATCCTCAGAATTCAGAGAAGTAAACTTGAAGTTTAAATTTACTTTTTGTTGTTCTTCATTAATGAAATGGTCAATAAAGTTATTGATTTAAAAAGTACATTCGTGGTGTTGAATCGTAAAATGAATACATTGCCAAAAATTGAATAGAGTTAACTTTTACACATGCGTAATTTATATCTAGAATGTCGCAGTGAGGACAAATAAGACTAAATAAAGTTGATATTCATATTTATCGATATACAACGATTCCTAATATTGATAAACTTCAGTGGTTAATTCAAAAACTGGTTTTCTTTGACCTAAGTCAATGGAGAGTGTCAGGTAAAGCCATCCAAACAGAACGAGACTAGTTTACCTCTAGCTGCCCATAAAGTTAACAATGGGAGTGTTCGGCATTAACAAAATGATTTATGTAAGTTATAAGCCTCAGAGTGACCCTCATATCAGATTTTAAACTCCCCTATGCCCTAATGCACATCGGACCGTCTTAAATTTGACATAATAGTTTTTGGCTATATTTTACAGCCATCACTTAATTATCACAAACGCAATACCCTGTTTATATTGTATACACCAGTCATTTATTCTATTTTTCTCCGCATCAGTCAATTACAGTCAAACTCGATTACATTGAAATTTAAGGGACCTTGAGATTTATTTCAAATTAACCGAATTCCATTATATAGGTGTGCCATGAGTTACATAGGAAATGTAGATACGGTAAACACATATGCGAGAATTCATCTTTTACCTAACCTTACAAGCAGTGTTTTTAGAAATATATATGTATCTGTATTTTTCAAAGAAGTCCTTTTTTTTTTTTTTTACTTTTTTTTTGTTGATGAATGTTAGAGAACTATCAATACTATTTACACACGAAAAAAGTTCGTCTTGAACGTTGCCGCTAAGATAAATTGATTTGTCAGGTTCACATCTATAAATTTAACAACCCTGTCTTTTTAGTATTGAAAACACATGCTTTATATATTCGATTCAAATCAAGTAGTTTATTTTACAATCACTTACAATGGACTTATTTACCAGAACACTTTCTCCCACGCCACTTTACACATGAAACCCCTGCGTATTTTAGCCATGTCGGTCTTAATGCGGTAATTAGAAAATAAAAAAGACGACTCCTATGTTCTGGTGAGAAATGCTTAATTGTTGTATTTACACAAGACATTATTAAATTTTTACAAACACACAGACATCAAATTAAATGTGTTAAAATTTACATGTGCTAGACTTTGTATATAATTAGTCACTTGTGTCCACGTGTCGCAATCTGCGACTTCAATGAGACCGTTATCAAAACAGTAAGCTTTGTAGTCACCTCAAATTAACAGAACTTTTAAATTTAACCGATATCAATCTAAACGAGTATTTATTACAAAGAAACTGTACCAGCGTTTTCGAGAAAACCAAATTCATTTCAAACTAGCTGATTATTTTTCAAATAAAGAGAGTTCAATTTATGTCAGTTCTAGTGTAAGTCGCCAAGAATTTCGTCTCCGTAGACAAAAATGAAAATTAATAAAACAGGACTAAAACAACGTACATTGTCCTAAATACCGTTCTTATAAGAAAATTCACTTTTAATGTCATACGTAGTATACAAAACATCCTCTAGGTGTTTAATTGTAATTTTTTTTTAAATGCATTCAAAGTGCGTACCTATCGACATGTACATGTAAGTAATCTTGAGCAAGTCATTGACAAAAGACCACAGGTGATCATATTTTAAAAACAACAGCCAAAAAAAAAAAAATGTTGAAAATTTCTGTTGCCAACAAATTAAGTATCCGGATATCTGAAGATACACTTTTTAACGTACACATGAATTTTATTTTTTTTTTTTTTTTTTCTAACTGGAATTTCTGCAAGGCAGACTTGCAAACTATAATACGGGAGGATGAAGGGGTTGTAGCTACCTCTTACCCTCTAAAGTTAAAAGATACATATAAAATGTTCAACGCTTTATTCAAATCTCTGGCGATTTTAAATTTAAATGAAATTATCTTTTACTGTTAAAATATTTCTTAACTTGTGAGTATAATTACGTCTTTGTATTAAAGTGAACACCGTGACGGAAAACGGGAAAAATGACAAAAGTAGAATTTTTGCATGGCACAGGCAAATTTTGTTCAGTTCTTGAAGATATAAGGTTTCAGAAAATTACAGCTTTCAGAACCTAAAAAATCTACTGTTATGGAGAAAAATAAAAACAAAAAAATCTTTGTATAACCCAACACAAAAATATTGCTTCACTATTTCCTCTTTATTGTACGCATGCGCTAAAAAGTTGAAGAATTTACCATGGTGTCCAATAGATATAAATGTCGAATGACCGAGAATTTTGATACAATCTTCAAAAAAGATTATCAGAACCTATTCCTAATTTTTGCTTGCTCCGATTCAATGTTTTTTTACAAGTTCCACGCTAGTAATAAATTACGCGTGACCTTGACATTGTTGACATTGACGATAAAAATTACGAGATAGATACAACACTTGTTTTTCCGGCACTTATATTTTGCAGTTCTTTTCTTGCTTCACAGTGCAGTTGAGTTTTCAAAACTTTGCTATATTCATATTTCACATAAATCTTTTGTTTTGTGATATAATTATCTTAAAAGAAACACGTGATTTTGAAGAAACAAAACATTGTGTCATAAACTTATTAAGAATTTCATGAAGGAAATGATTTCAGTACTAGATCTAGAAAGCTTTTCAACAAAAACAAAATCATTGACATGAGTACTCTGAACTGAAATTCGGAAGGGCAGGTAACAATATACTTCCTGTAACTCAAGTACACATACTAAGCAACAGAAAACGCAAAAAAACAACATACTTATTTTTCTGACATTATCGAAATGAGTGATTAGTTTCCATTAGTGGCTATCATTTTGCCATCGTGCTGTAGGAAATTTACTCTCAAAAAGAGTTGAATATAGTGAAAAGTAAGAAATGTCAAAATTAAAACTTTAATGATAGATGTTTTCTATTCTGTGAGATAAATGATGAAATAACAACTCGGATATCTTCGTTTCATACCATGGAGAGATTTTTGAACTGGATGGCATTGGAAAAAGGTCTTCCTTTGTGTTTTTATATCGTGTTAATTCAAGGTTTGTTTTTCGTTATCTTAATTATGATATATAGTTATTTACAAATGCTTAAAATCATAACTTAACACCATTTTACTTGCTTAACAAGAACTTCTAAGTACATTGAATAATGGTATGTTTGATTTTATCAATTTGCATTCATGTAAATCGTAGTCTTAAAGATGTTTGTATGTAAATCATGTCATCACAGTTTTATGTTGATTACTGCGTACATGAGTTATTCCTTAAGGTGCCTTCATGCACCTTCAATTTTCTATACGTGCAAGGTAGAAAAGCTGAATGATATCTATTTGATAATTACATGTAGTATAATTTATAAACTCGAAATAATTTACATGTAGGTAATTATAGTTTTAAAGATGTCAGACATAATAAAAGGGGAGTATATTAGCATAAAGAATTGTAAAAATCGTGTCTCCATTGAAACCATTCAACATTAAGAGACATTACAGAGAAAATACGTACCGATTTTTCATTTTGAGATGTACTCGCAGGTGATTTGAACAAATTTACTTCAAACATGTTCGATATAAGTAGACCATAAATCTGAAGAAATATAAAATTTATTATGAAACTTCATGCCACCTTTTTTTAAATTCTGTTCTTTTTGTCATCCTCTTCTGTCGTAGTACCCTCACGTGGTTTTATTGTGGTCAATGTAAATTTCAAAATACAGTATCATGAGCTCACAAACATGTTTAAATGTTAATCAAAATCTTGCATCTCAAAATTCAAAAGTCTTAACTTGAATTAAACTACCTGTGGAATTTTATGCAAAGTAGGTCAAAGATCAAGGTCAAGTGGATTGAAATGCTGGTATTTTTCATGTCTTATGACAAACAGTCCACATGCTAAATAAGCAGAGAGTGACCTCTTAAATGTCAAAAATATGCTATCGGCACTATGAACTATTCTGAAAAAAGTCAAAGGTCAAGGGTAACGACATCAGTAACCATGGTAATTTACAAAGGCTATAGTGCCCATCAATATATGTGCAAAATATCAAATCAATACCTCTTGCAGTTATTGAGACATAGGGTGTGACAGACGGAGAGACGGAAAGACGGACAGACAGACAGACAGAAAAACAGACAGGCGCTGGGTAATATGGTCCCGAAGTGCCACTCCGCTCTGCAGACGACACAAGACTTAGGCTATTATTTGCTTACTGAATTGTCTGAGGAGATTTCCCTTTGCCCAATTATGACAAATAGCACACCGCCAATTTGGCCGGTCGACAGGAAATGCTTATTCATCTGTTGCTCCTGATCCCGACTCTGATGTTTTTAGACCTCCGTGTTTTCTCTGCTCAAAATTTGCATTGTTCCAATGGGACCTTGAGCTTGGTTAATGTTTCGTTTATTTTTAACCTACATACTAGTTTCTTTTTGGGAATCCTAGGAATTTTTATAGGAAGAGGGCAAGCTTCACACTCTATCAAAATGTCAAGCATTTTAATAGGATAAAGTAGATCTCAAACTTTGCTTTGCTTTTTAATTCAATAATCTAAATCAGGTCCTAAATATTTTATTTCTTTTTTATTCTCACGAAATTATCTTAAAACTACCATGTAGCTCTGTATGCTATCAAAATAAATTATTTCATCGTGCTGAAAAGTGTTCATATTTCTTTTTAAAAGCAGACGGCATTAGTAGCATGTCAAAACAGTCATGGAATTGGTTCGAGGCACAACAAAGCTGCATCAATAACAACAGTACCTTGGTAACTACTGCAGTGATGACATCAGAGAATGAGTACTGGACTGGTGTTTACAGACGTTATTCATTCTTGATAAAAATCTTAGGTATTGCTTATATTTATGTACACAGTGAGAAGGCATTATACATGTATATAGCTACGAATGCGAAATCAATAATAGTGGAACAAGTAATCATTATTCATACTAGTATTCCTATTTTTTTTTTTTAAATTACTCATTAAAAGACAATTAAAGGGAGGGACATTACAACCCTACAACACTTTGCACAATAGTCAAATTTAAAGCTGGTGAATATTCAGTATATCCTGACAACTTCATGTTAAAATTTTAAGATCTTTAATTTTTCCTACCGTAAGAATAAGGGTCGACATTTTCTTTCAATTTCATTTACATTAGAAATTTGTAAAGCTTCGGATGACAACGTTTTTTTTTTTTTCATTTTTCAATCCCTTCTATGAAACTATATCCCTTATATTTGATTGATTGGTTGTATGTTGTTTTAAGTCCCGATCGAGAATGTTTCGATTATATAGAGACGTCACCTTTACCGTTGAAGGGCTTCAAATTTAGACCTTTTCTCTGCTCTTTCACGGCCATTGAGCAGTGAGTGCACTTTATCGAGCCAACGCCTACCGTGACACGGGATCTCGGTTTTTAAGGTCTCATCCGAAGGAACTGCAACTTTCACTTCAAATTGCCGTGCACTTGACGAGGGAAAAATTCCTACCTATTTTGTAGACTTGGGTCAGTTGCGGTCATGATTCGAACACACGACATTCCGATCACGGAGCTACCAACTGAGCTACCGTGATGCTCCCCTTATATTTGAGTTGATCCTTCATGCATTAAAATCCTCCCCTCTTTAACGACATTATCCTTTTTAATATTAATCATAGTATACCGATATTTCAATTATTTCCCTTGTGAGATCCGTGTTCCAACGATTTCTAAATATAGAAGTATCTTTTAATGATCTTTAAAGTCTGATTTATTTTTACAAACCAAATTCTTAGAAATTTAGACATTTCATTAATTTACATGATTCACTTTGTTAAAGATTTGCTACATCATCTTATTTATTTTGTAGGATTTTTCATTTAACTTAATTTTAAAATGCCGAACTTCTTGTATCATCATATATGGATATTCATTTAAAACATAATGTTCTTTTGTAGGCTGTTACAGTGTAGAAGATGTGAATCAAATAAAGAAACAAACGTTTCATATGAAGTATCCTTCAGCAGGCTTTTGCCAAGAAATATGTGATTCCATAAATGTTCTTAACTTTGGAATCAAGGTAAAAGTAAAAAAAAAAAAAAAATACTACACAATTCTTCAAAACAATTTACACATAAATCATGGCATTAGCAGATTTGTTTGAAAATTGTTAAACAATTTGTTGTTTGAGTATTTTGTATTTTGAGCATAACACATCAATACGAGTCTATATTTTTATTACCTATGCATGTATATAATGGAAGGAAAAAATGTTATATATTTTCTGATATAAGAACAATTTAAATATACGTATTTATTTTTTATATCTTTAAAGTAGAAGGACTTGCAGTTTTATAAGCATTTTTTAAAATCATTTTCAACAATTGTCGATTACAGAGGCCTTTAAATGGTTCCCATTTTCACATTTATATTTTAAAAAAAATCTTAAAAGAAGAGGGATTTCTGGGATAAAGAAGTTGAAAATTGTGCAACTATGATCATGCTATGTAGATTTTAAATTGTAACTCATGTTACAAGGGAAAAAATGAAGATAAGATAACTGTCACAGCTCATAAATTACCTTTTTTTAAAATATTGATTAATTTGTGGAGGCAATGGAATGTGTATGTTTCGAAAGAACAGTGACGGCGAGGAACATACCTAGTAGCCAGTGCAGCGAAACTTGCACAAAATACAACGAAGAAATTTCATTTGCCCAATGTGGTGGAAGAAATGCATACACTCTATACAGTTCAGGTACATGTATATCGAAAAAGATATTAAAGTGTCATTATATGCTTACTTATCCGCGATCTTGCTGTATTGTGTAATGCTTGTTAAATTAGGACGTTAACTCTGCGTCAAAGTAATAACGGGTTTTATCAATTTAAGAACTTAAGTAATTAAGTAAAAAAGTAATTACGTGATTTGTTTTCTGGAGAAACAGAAGGGTTTTATATCGAAGATGATTTACGGAGTGGGCTTGTTGGTAGAACTATTGTGCCTACTTGCAGGAACCAATCTATAATTCTATGTTTTCCGATCAATAGACACGAAAAATGCATGGAAAGTCAGCAAGTTCTGACGAATTTATCTATCACAACATTAGTTTTCAAACAAGTAGAGCTTTTTCAAATATCTTGGCCGTCTTTAGCAAAAACCTTAAACGGTGAACTGACATGCACCTATTCTTAAGCATATTTTCATCAACATTTTACTGACATTAGCCCGACTATGTGAAAGTTCAACCAGACGCTCGGTTTTCTCCGTAAACTTCGACTCTGCTGCTGGTCGATGTTTACGGAGAAAACCGAGGGATTATAAAAAGAGTGCAAAGCAAAGAAAAAGAATAAATACAAGCTGAAAAGCAATAAAGAACATTTCTGTTTACAATGAAAGTATAGAAACGCCTTTTGGTAATTGCTATAAGAAAATAAATTGTTATTTGGATTTATTTATGGCCATTTTCAAGTGTTCGTTTTGTATTTTTTTTTTAAGATTGAAAATCTTGAAAAATTGTTAAGTCGTACGAAAATTAGATCACCAGAACATATTCTCCCTTGCCTTGAACAGCATTTTAACCAATGAAATAATTGGAATCTTTCACATCATGCAATTTCTACCAATCATAAAAGAGAGGAAGTGCAAAAATATACTTTTTTGTGGTTCTCAACCTGTTATTTGTATATTTGCCTAATTTGTGCAAGAAATGTTCAGATTTGATGGTTTTCAATTTGTTATTTGTATATTTGCCTAGGTTTTGCGAGAAATTTTCTGATTCGATTGTTCTATTGACTAAATTAAGATCGCTCTTAAATACAGAACAGTCTTAGAACATTTTGAATTTTAGATCTTCAAAAAGTTCCTCAGTGTTTTGAGTTTGAGAGAATAAGGAAAGATAACTCTTGCAAGTGGACTTTTTATACCGTTTTTTATTGGAATCTTTATTTTGTAGAAGATTTTTCATTCAATTTGTCACTTTTTATTCATTTACATTGTCCATTTATAACTAATTTCCCAGATTATTCTTATGCGTATTACGAGGCTGAATATACATGTATCCATCACCTGAACCTCTGATTTCTGCAATTCTAATGATTATAACTTTAAAATAAATTGTTTAACCAAACTTAGAAAAATGATTAAAACATCACTTTAAAAATACTTCAGATATCGAATTCATCATTTGAATATTTAGAATCCTCATAAGTGGTGCTGTAATGAAACTTGTATTAAACTGTGAGGGTAATGAGCCTTCTTAGTTTAGAGAAAGAATACAAAAACGTTCATAATAAACGTTTTTCAACACACTGTATGTGAAGAAGCACAAATCAAAAACATTCTTAGAATTTTATATATAAATCTTAAATGACACCATATTACATATTAAAACTTATTTAATTAATTCCCTAAATGCATACACCGGGTGTTTTTTTTTTTCTTTAACTGTTCATGGAGAGGGAACAAATGAAAGCATAGAGCTTGCAATGGTGTTTTTCATTGTAGATATCAACTATTGTTTATTTTCTTTGCATATAATTTTATTATATCGATATTATATAATACAAAATTGGCTAAGTGTGATACAAATTTGGTTATTTTTATTCAGCAAAGATATTTCGGTAGTAAGAGAATCTTTTTTCTTGGCCAGGTTACAGAATAATTCTTCTTCATTTCTTCCCAGGTGACAAAGACCGAAAACCAACTTGTTATGCAATTGAATGCAGCACAAGGAACGTGTTTTCTATTTCTCAAAATTGCTCAGAGTCAAAGTTTGGAGTATGTGCAAACAGAGGTAATATCTGCTTCCATTGGTAATATTTATGTTGTAGTAACTACTAATAAAAACAAATACACAGACTATAGAAATGAATGACTTAGTATCCAATAACATTAGAGAACTTATAATAGGGAACATTATTGAATTATTGCTCTTTTAGATCAATGTGATGGTTTTGCTACCTGGGCAAATGCAATATTCATCGAGTCCAAAGGGAGAAGTGAATATTGAACTTCGAGGGTGGCTAAATCATCGTATGGACTGCAAAAAGGAATAACTGTTTATTATATGATTTAATGATTAAATGATACAAATCCATTTTAAAATAAATATAACCAATTATAATAATTTTGAATTTCTTATTTTTAGTGGGATATAGAAAAATTAGATGCCAATCATGTAGCATCAATTTTGAAAGGGGTTGGAGGCATAATAAGGAAAATATTTACGTTTAGAAAAAAGCGGGACTGCACCCCTCACCACCACCTCTAATTCTATGTGTCTGTATGCAATGTTCACTGAGTGGAATTTGAGTGCAGGTGAAATAACTTTTCAGAACTAATTGTATCAACATGGAAGTGTTCAGTCTAATTTTAATCCAAAGTAAAAAAAAAAAAAATAAATAAATAAATTCTTATGTTCATCTAGAAGGTCACGTGCAGGTGAATATAACGTTGTATATGTTTCTACAGTATAGGACCTTAGCCAATCAGAGAGCTAGGAAAGGTTTAATCTTATAACAGTTTGCATTATTGTTGTATGACACTTCTATATGAGTTGCGTCAAGCGAAAAGGGACCTTCGTGACATAAACGTAATTACGTCACAATAGCGCTTCAAAGACGTGACGTTTCATTTGTGCGTTTGCCAATAAAAAATATTCATAGTTACGATAAAGCAAAACAAAAATATATTTGCGTAATACATATGTTAATAAAAATAGACACGCCTATAACTGTCAAAAAAAAAAGTATAATCTCGTCAATTTATAGATTTTCTGGTAATTTTTCAAAAATAATATTTAAACTAATTTAATTTTTGATAGTTCATGAATGGCTTTTTTCATCAGCTGTCAAAAATATTCATGAACAAATCCGTGTGCATGTTTTCCTCATTAGGCTCTGACAATTGCGTCTTTTTGGCTGAGCTCCGTCTACAGATAAGTCAAGTGGTCCCCTGCATTTATTTCAATGTTTTTTGTTATGTTTTTGTTTTTGTTTTTGTTTTTTTTTTTCGGGGGGGGGGGGTTACATGTAACACATTCCAAGTTGTTTCTCCGGTAGGCAGAAAGGCACGAGAATTTGCGACTCAATGCCCAAAGTTTGTCATCTGAGATTAAGTATCCGAATCAAGTTCTCTGATGATACTAGCATAGTTGCAATAGCGTTTTTTGTCAATACATATTAGGGGGGTGGATAAAAGAAGGAACAGCTAGGAAACTTTGTCTGTAGCCATGTCATAAAGGATGAAGCGGCAGCCATGAACGACTTCACCTTTTGCGCAACACCCTGCGGTTTGAAAACTGGTGTAATAAAATGTGAAGATAATAAACAGTAGTTATTTTCAAAATTAATTTGAGGTCTTGTATTCATTGCCTTCATTAATTGCAATACTAGTAAATTAAAACTAAACACAGTAACTTTGGGGAAAGCTGATGTTGTTTAAGTCGAAAATTAAGAGCGATATTGGTCATCTAAAATTTTAAATCAGACTTACATGTATGTACATTAGTTTTATTTTCTGATTTGAAGTTTATTAATTTTATTTCAGGCAAATGCAGAAGTTCCGGACTATAAATATGAGGACATCTTGAGCTTACAAATTTTCATAATATCGTAAAATTTTAAATGGTTTAATTCCCCCCCCCTTTTTTTTTTTGGTATGTGCTAATGTTCGTTTTTTATACTACGGAAAGGGAAGACGTCGCGCACAATATTGGTGTTACTTCAGCCTTTCAAGGATTAATTCCTATGTTTATCTTTATTCTCTCTTAATTTTCTTTATTTTTTTAAATAAGTTATTTTTCCTTTCGATTTTTCTTGTTCAATTTTGTTTTTACGTATTTAATTTACTATATTAATTTCTTTTTTATTTCGACCATAACCACTTTGAAAACACAATGGTACAATGTACCTGCACCATACCCCCTCCCCTTTCTAAAAAAAAAAAAAAAAAAAAAAAAAAAAAAAAAAAAAAAAAAAAGCTCATTTATTTGAACACTTTAAGTGCGGAATCATTGTCTTGAAATTCACATCACCAGTAAAGTGGTGTAGATTTTTTTTTCAGACAGTATCTCAATAGTTCCATTTTCTTTCTCATATATGTATTTGCAGAGGATCAGGAGAATTTAATATTTGGAAGCTGTACATCCCCCTTGTTAGTGTTGCCTTAGACCTATCTCAATTTACACTGCGATATTGTAAAATCGATGCTTATTTACGCTTGTGACCTATCAATAAAATTGTCCGGTTACTTCCTTTTTTTTTTCTCTTTAAAAAAAAACTTTTAAAAATTCCATTCCACCAATTAAGGACATACGCAACATACCTTACCTACTGATAATTTTTCAAGATATTCTTAATTTAAGATTATAATGCCATCAGATGTTCGTACACAAAAATTCAGCATGCATTACCAGGGGTTTTGAAAAGATATCAATTGATGAAAATTCTTGTATAATTCAAAGAAAAATATACAAAAAAAACTAAACATATATTCTAAATGTTTTGTTTATCCAAACTTGTTTTAGAAGAAGTGTACAGCAGCATAATTTATATAGACATTAAAATGTAGCACACAGTTCCTTTAAGTATTGGAACTCTTCAACTCCAGGGAAAATGACTATAAAGTTCAAACTACGTTGCGTACATGTATGTCCTTAAGTTGCTTTCTATACGTGTCTGTTTACTGCATATGATTTAAAAAAAAAAAAAAAAACAAGAAAGGAATGAAGAATGAAAAGTTAGGGTTTTTTTAAATTTTAATTATACGTTTTTTTAAATTATATCCTACTATCATCAATAATTCATTACTTTATTTTTTTCTATATTATTTTTTTATATATAGCGTACACATATCGTTCGGAGCTCCTCGGATGGCTTGCACATGTACCTGTTTGGAGTGTAACGGAGTCAGCCGAGGATTGCCGATCGTACACACTATGCATAATGATCTATCTATCACAAAATACAAATACATGTAATTGAATCTCTTGCTTACAATCACATGCTGGGAATAAATTTAAAGAAATTTCTACCAATGACAGCCTGTATGTATATTACAGAATATATTGTTTGGAATTTCAGGGGTGAGGACCATTTCACACCTTCTACACGCACCCAGTAATATTGTCTTGTTCTCACTGACACTGAATTTTAAACTGATTATTTACATGTAACTGTATCAACTTCTACATTGAAGTAATGGTTAGATTGTACATCTGCAAGTTAGAATCATCATCCGGGACCATTGACTTGAATAATAAAATAGAGCATGAAAAAGAGTACCAACACGTGAAAAGGTGGCACATTAGCCTGACTAGAAAATCTTATAAATACATGTCAATTATATATATTAACGATTTAAAAAATATAATTTGAAAGTCGAAGTAAAACTTTGAGAAGACTTTGAACGCTGCATGTCCGTCTGATTGTTTTGCATCAAGCCTAGATATATACGTAATCTGGGTTTTTTATCGGTATTTTTTAGCACTGAACAAATTAATTAATATTTTTAACATGAGAATAAAAAAAACAAGTTTTTCTCTTTACAAAACTGTACAACATACAATATTTATCTTCAACAAAATTTATACAACTGCAAGCACCGAAGTAACGTGCTTTTGTTCCAAGTACAAAGTACCGGGCTCATTTTCGAACTAGACCCCCCCCCCCCTCCCCCGTCCCTAATGTACAAAAACTTTATTTCTTTTACTGATATACATGTATAGTTAAGTCACAATTATTGTGTGTACCGGTATATTTAATTTAATTTTAGCGTCTTAAATCGCTGTCATATAGGCAGGAAGCATCGTTGGGGGGGGGGGGGGATTAAACAAACACGTTTAACCAACTGTATTTTGAATTGGGAGATTTTCCACATTTCAGTATTATTTTCAATTGAAATATAATCATAGGACATCGTTTTTGAAAGACGTGTGAAATAATGGATACTTATTAGGTAAAAATATCAATGCCTGAAAGTTGCAACCCTAAAAACATTAGTTCAGAGAAGTACAACTGTACCATTTCCATAAAAAATACACGTAGGTACTGCCTAAGGGTTTGTTTTTGTGGAGGTGGATTTGGTGATTATAGCGAAAGAGAAATAATACTTTGACCGGGATCAATCACTACATTAACAGTGATATCAGATATTCATTTACCCCTTTGCGAGCATTAACAGTGATGTCAAATATTCATTTACCCCTTTTCGAGAAATCGTACTACTCGGTCATTTCCGTCAATAATAACTCAAGGAAAATGGCCGTGTTGTTACGAATGCCAAGGCGAAATGATTTCAGAGTAGGAACTTGTTTGGTTTTGTATAATCAGCGGTCTGTCCCCTTGTCAAGGATCCTTTCAAATAAAAATTTTCTAGAGATTGAAGCATGGTTATGTTGATGATGTAGAAAAAAGGTGAGGTAATGTCGAAATTGAATATATTCCTTGAAAATTAACTACTACCTTTATTACTTCTATATACATGTAAATGTACATAATTATAAATTTTTTTTTTTCTTCAACCTTAAAATTATCACTATTTTACAATGTATACAATCATATAAATACTAAAATTTGTTCTTAGATATTGAAAGAAAAAAACTTTTCAAAACATCTAGAAAAAGTAATTTCTAATCAATACAAAAGGATGATTTAGTAATGACGTTCCAATTATCAATGACGTTTTGTGACGTTATTCAACGTTTTATAGCGTCATCTTGTTAACATTGCATTGATTTTGTTTTAGAGTTTTAATTAGAATTTAAAAGGTATATAATAAAAAATTTGGTGTCAAAATATTCAGAAAAATTAGCTCTTTCAGAAAGGGTCAAAAACCTATTTTCGAAAATTTTGTCATGAAGGTCCCTTTTCGCTTGACGCAACTCAATATATAAATGACATGCTTTGTATGGTCAATGGATATCATATCAAAAAGGCTGAACATGGGGTTTGATTGTGATACAAGTTGATCATGAATAAATGCAAGTCATCGACTAATGCAACATTATAT